ACTTGTAGTAAATGTGGTACACCCAAGCATAACAAGAAGACTTGCCTCAAATTTACAGATCAAGCTTAACAGTAGTGTGTTGTTTTTATTTTATTTTTACTTGAAACATTATGTAGTTGAAACTTTTAGTTTTATGTTGGTAGGATGAATCGTATTAATGGTGTATGGAATGATATAAACATTCATGTTTGCGAGTTTTTGATATTAACTTATCTTTTTATGCACAAATCTATTTACGTAAATGGTTATGAAATAATTGTAAATTTTAATAATAGAAAACTATGATTTAATTTCTATAATATTGGTGTAGTATTCAAGAGTTATTATCTATAATATGATATTGGTGTAATTATCGTTGTAAGGTTGGTGTGTACGTAATCCTATCCTTACGTTACATACTATCAAAATTGCGGAATCTAATGCATACTGCATTACCCTTGCTACCTTCCATATGGATGTTAGTACAAATCATTAGTTGGTCAATACAATATTGTTAACTTGCTTTGTGTCATTTGCTTGTTGAGTCCTTTTTGAGAGATGAAAGTCGATTGTATCATCTTTTACAGGTCAAAATACGGTAGGAACTGCTCTCTAATAGAAAAGGAAGGAACGATCAGCTGCCCAAAGGTGGGTTGGATTTAGAGTACGATACTGTTGAAAGAAATTGGATCAAAGATTTTAATTGGTTTACGATTTGTATTCTTTGAAGTATCTTAATCTTTTTTACATAAACCTTTTGATTCTTAGTCTATGTGATCTCTGGCACTGTTCCAGCATCTATTGAGCAGCTTTCACGTTTGAAAATATTAAAGGTAAAAGATAACAATTGTGAAATCCAGATGAACATAATTCAAAGAGAGAATAAGAACAAAGAAGAATGAAGAAGAAAAGGAAGAGAGGAGTTTTTTATTTTCCAAAAAAATAAAACAGCGTAGGAAGTAATAATTTCTTGGAAAACTGAAGAGGTGGAAAGATAAAAAAAAATATTTAAAAAACTTAGTAATAACCATTAATTGGTGAGATAAATTTAATACATAATAATCATTCCCCAAAAATATGCACAGAATCCCCAAAAAATGATATACTAAAATCGAAAATAAATAATAATTAAAAACGAAAATTAATTAAATATGCTATGTCTGTAATTTAGAAACTTCATTTGTAATTAAATATAAATATGTGTATATATTGTTAATTAAAGTTTTAAATAGTATACTTTTATAATTTTCACATAGAAAAATCATAAGAATATTTTAGAATATTTTCAGTTAGTTTAGATTTCAATGATTTTTACTGTCACATCACCCATTTAAATTGATAGTAACGTTGTTGGCAAGCAAATCAAACTAGTCAATATATTTAAGCTTGCAAGTCACTAAATAAATAATCAACATGCCTTCTTAAATACAATTTCAGAAAAAAACAACAAATCTACAAGCAGACTTAAAATACAATCAACTTTTAAACAAAATATAATTTGAGTTGTGTTTGTTTATTAAAAATACCTATTCATTTGGGCTCGATGATTAGGTACTAATTAAAAGCCTGATAAATAGAACAAACAATTTTTAAAACATTTTATAGAAATGAACTGAATATTAAGCAATACAATGATCAATAGACTTGATTTTCTAGTTTAATTAGTGATTACCATTGTTTTACGAATTCTATAAAAATTATAATTAATTGATTTTGTTTTGGTGCTTCGTTATTAACCACTATGTTTTTTAAAAAAAAAAGAAAATGTATATACACCAATGAAATTTTAACATTTTGTAGTGTAACGTATAGACATATTTTTTTGAAAGAGTACAACATTTTAATAAATGATAGGAAACTAGAAGAATAAACACGTTGGATGTAATATAATTAGTAAGACACAACCATCTATCTAATGGAACATGCGCATGACCATAAACATATATATATATATATATATATATATATATATATATATATATAAATCAAATAATTACATATAAAATAGACAATAATTACAAAACAAGATTTACCTAAACACTATTGTTTAAGCCTTTTATCACGATTTAGATTGTCGTGAGAGACACCAACATTAACTCTCCAGTGGGAGAGAACCATTTACTAACCTCTCAACCATTTAAAAGAATCAAAATCATAATATAGAATGATAAACGCAGTTTTAAAACAATAATGAAGCGGGTTTCCATAAACTCAACCTAGTATCAAAAATCATTGCGGAAAATAACTCCATAAAATCTGAAAGTCATAGTAGAAAAACTTCAGAATATCTAGAATAAGAAGATGCAAACCCAACACAAAAAAAAACATTAAGTCTAAAATCTAAAATGTCTATATCTGAAAAAGATGGATAACGAGAAAAAGAAGAATCCATGGCATCCCGAAAGAAGTAGCTTACCCTTGAGTTTAGATGTCTTGTTTCTCACAATTGAGGTCTCGAAGCAACCGCCTGAATATGCCATGTACTCCACAAAGAAAGAGCAAGTACAATATTAATACACAAATATCATGTACCGGTAGGATCATAAGGCAAGTTCCAAAACATGTATGTAAACAAATAACTACATGGCAGTAATATAGGCCAACACACACACCAACAGTCACAACATAATGCAGATTCCCAATCACCACCTTAACTTAACCAATGCATGAAATTAGGGGTGTCAAATGAGCGGACTGTGTTGAAACTGGAGATATTAAAGTAGGTTGAAATAGAAATTGAGTTGGGTTCTGACCTGCCCAAGTTTACTTTGGGCTCAAATGGGCTTAAAACGGGTTGAGTCTTGACCAACCCAATTTAACCTTTAATTTCAATAATTTTATATATATTTTTATTTATGTTTTATAACCACAATTTGAGTTTCAACTCAAGATTTTTTTTAAAAAGAAGTTACAATTGGATAGATAAATCCTAAAAGATATAAAATTGATAGTAAATCATACCTTCAATATAGGAACATACATTACATCAATGCAAATAAAGAGTCTTAAAACGGTTTGAAATTGGAGGTTAAATTGGGCTCAATTAATGATTCTCTTATAATGGGTTAAGACTTGAATAAGTTGAGATTGAACCCAATTCAAATTATCTTGAGTCTAACCCTTAAAATTCTGGGCAGGTTATCTATGGTTGAGCACATTTTTTACACCCCTACATGAAACATATCCCATATGATCACAAAATGCACATATTCAGTGTTGTCATAGAACTCACACACAAACTGTTAGTATACTGGTGCAGTACCGAGCCAATCAGTGTTAATATTTCATATTAGGCGTGGTATTGGAGCCAAACATTAGTATCCTATATCGATGCGGTACTCGAGCCAATCATCATGTGGGTCAATCCGGATCCATGTGAGAAAACATATATATATATATATATATATATATATATATATATATAAAATTATGTATTATATTATTAATTAATATAATGAAAAGACACAACTATTTGAATAGTTTTTATCCCTTCCGAAGAGGCACACCTATTTGAATAGATGTGTCCCTTTAGAACTAAGGGTTCTCACAAGAGAAAAAGAAAGAAAGAAGAGAATCTTTTCATTCTCTACTGTTCCAAAAAGAACATACACTTCTTCTGCTTCTTCTCCTTCTTCTTCTCCAATTCCAGAAAGTTTGTGTAAAGATTCTTTGAAGGTTTCTTCTCCAAAAAGTGTTGGAACGAACGATTGTAACAAGTACGATTTTAGACTATGGTTTTATATGATATAGTTCGTGTTTATATACATGTGATTGCACTTTCTAACTGGTGAAACAATATTCAATGATTCCGCAAATTAAGTGTTTGATTAGATTATTCACGAATATTAAACTTCAAACTTACCAAAAATATTATAAATCATATGATAACGGACGACAGACTTCAAACTTACCAAAAAGAGGTATAAATCATACTAATAAGAAATAGTTGGCAAAAAAATGTTTGATAAATGAATACAAACAAGATAAACATGAAAAATAGAATTAGGGTTTAAGTCTTTAAGATCTAAAATACCAACAAGATAAACTTTAAAACAATGTACATACTAAAAAATCTAGAGTTTAGATTTTTGAAAAAAATATAACTTTAAAAGAATTAGGGTTTGATCTTGTATCTTCAAGATCTAAAACACAAATAAAATAAACTTGAAAAAATATACGTACTAATAAAACTAGAGTTTAGGTCTTGAAAAAAATATAACATCTAAGAAATTACGATTTAGGTCTTGTAACGTAAAGACCTAAAACACGAACAAAATGAATATTGAACATAAACTATTAGTTTTAAACCTGGTATATACAAGACTTTTTGATCTATTACTATAGATTCTGGTGTACATCAAGGCACATACTAGTTAATTAATTAATAATTTTTAACTAATTAAGTATTTAATTACATTGATGATGACTAATCTAACAAATTGTCATTAACTAATTTAACAAATTATAACACATTAATAACTATTATTTCATAATATATTGTATTAATACAATCAAAGCATAATTACATAACGCTACAGATCAACAATTTGAAGAATAAACCTATATATATATATATATATATAATATGGAATAGCGCTACTAAATATATAAAAAGGATAGAGAATTAAATATAATTATTAATAAATAAATGTAAAATGAGAAAAATAAATGATAACAACATGATCACATTAATTTGATCATTATATAAAAATATAACCTTTTATCATTACAAAATATAATAAACTTTACAACACAATATCAATTTTCATCAATTTGATCGTTATATAAAAATAAAATCTTTTGTCAATTACAAAATATAATAAATTTTACTACGCAACAAAGTTTTAATAATAGTTATCAAAATAGATATTGTATTTAAACCAACTCCAAACAAGCTATTTAGGTTGCAAATTCCACTGACATAACTTTGGGTAATATAATTGTTTGTGTGACATGCAAAATAAAATTTCTCCATAATTGGATGCGTCCTCACTCCGTGCATTCTTTTTATCCAGTAAAAAAGAGAAGGAAAAAGAAAAAGGAAAACTCCCAATTTCTTTTAATTTTCTTTTGAGAGTTCAATAGAACACGCTCGTTACTGGAGCGTGGTACAACAACATTCCGGCGACTCATAGCCGACGGCGAGGTTTTCACTAACATTATCCATTTGACGGAGGGAGACAGAAGCTACCGAAAATGAGCTATACCTGTCTATTGTTGAACTCATTAACGCCGTCAGTGTTTCCCGTGAAAAGATACGGCAAATCCATATGGCCGTCAGAATTCCGGTGCCGGAAAACCAGAAAGGCATCATCATTGATAGTCTATAGTCGTCTCGAGAATTCTACCGAAAGCAATGCTCAACAGCAACAGCTTAACCTTTCCGTGCTTCGTTTCACTCTCGGTAGACCCAAAAATCTTCTATTTGTCTCTCGATTTCAATCAGTATATACGCATGTATTGTCTAGTCTCTAAAATTTGTGCCTGTGTTGGCTATTCCTTCAAAGGAATACCTGGATTGGACGAATCTTATTTGCCGAGATACATCGGCTACGCATTTGGTTTTCTTTTGGTATTGAATCACTTTCTCGGCTCAGACTCATCCGCCATCACCGCAGCGCAGCTAGTGAGTCAACAATTGTATTCAACTCTATTCATATTTGTTGTCTGCAAATGTAATTTTAATTCAGTGTATTCTGTTTTCTACAGAGAACGGAAGTTTTAGGTCTTCTTCTGGCTGTGTTCTCTGTTATAGTTCCTTACCTTGGGAAGTTTCTTAAGGTAATTTCTCTGTCTATGTATTTTCTGTTGAGATAATTGCACCATTTTGTTCTAGTACATCCTCGGCTGCTAAAACAAATCAAGCAATTTACTTGAGGCTGATCAGTTTATAAAATTATCAAACCAAAAATCAGGATATATTTTATTACCAAGTGGAAATATGTACAGAAACAAACAAGTAACTGAAGTTGCATGTGTCTGCAACTATGTATCCAAGCTACTATTCTAAGGTTAGAAATTTAGCTTCTCTAATCTTAGCTCATGTGCATACGTAATAAATGCAGCCAGCAAAGGACATTCGGCAGATCTCAGCAGCTGCATTCTTCCCTTTCCCATGTGATTCTGCTGAAGCTAATTCATCCAAATTCTAGCTACGACAACCACATCCAAACCTAGTTTTTTGTTATACCCCATTGAGCCAATCTGTGTCTAGTGCTATGATTACCACATGCTGCTAAATTTGGGATGAAGATCCACTTGGGGAATCCATGGTTATTACATACCAGCCTCCTCCATGTAACCTTTTGAAATATTCCCCTCATCTTTTGATACATTCTTTTTATGGAAAAGGTTTTCTTCTGCTGCATTTCAGACACCATGACTCGAGCATCTTCGTCATATTCTTTGCCTTGAAAACCTTTTGTACCATTCAAGTTGTTTGTCTAGGTACAGCCTCCCCTACGCTACCCATTCCATAGTATACATGTACACACTGTACCCGTAGAGTATCTTTCTTCTTGCATAGGTTCCATAGTAATTTTCCTGCAGCTCTATTTCATGTGAAAATATCTAGGATATGTAGCCCTCCAGATGATTTTGGATAGCAAACCTTCTCCAAGCTAACAAAGCTCTTTCCGATATATCAGTTCCTCCTGTCCATAAGAATCTTCTACTGGTGGCCTCAGTCAATTGAATAATTCTCTTTGGCAGAACAAATATTTGGGACCAGAATCTTTATATAGAAAACAATACATTGTTAATCAAATGGACTCTGCCTGCATAGGACAGCTATCTTGTAGTCCAAGATGTAATTCCACCCAACAGAGATTTTTATGGTTTGTTAAGTATTACATTACGAGCAATTGGTTTCTTTAATACTTTTAATGTACGGCCCCTCAAATGCCGTTATTATCGGTTCAGTTAAAGCAGTTTAGCTTTTGTCAGCAATTGAATGGACCAAGCATCAACCAGGTTTTAGAAAAAAAGAAGAAGAAGATATGCTTATATGATATTAACATAAGTTTGAAACTACATCTGGTCACTCATGTTGCATTCATTGTTCTATCTTTAGCACCAGAGAGGTTCGCAACATGCTTATATGATATTCATTTCAACGGTTAATTTCCTTTAACCTGTTGTATTCATATTTTATGTAGATATTTAAGAGACGAGGTCTATATCATCCTTCTTAAACTGGAAGATATGCTATTGAAAAATAAATCTAAAGATATGTTAATGACTAAATTGGATTCAGGGTTCAGTTCTAGTAGAAGAAAGAAATCTTCCTGAAGATGCTGAGCAAGCCTTTGTCATCTCAGAGAACATATCAGATATTCTGAAGGAGGATTTGGCATGGGGAACCTATGTTTTGTTGCGCAACACAAGCAGCATATCAGTGGTATGTATCCATAGACAAGATTATATCAACTTGGAGTAGTCAGAGGATCATTCAAGAAGATAGTACGGATACAATTTTTAAGTTTCAAAACTTACAACTGTGAAGGTTACGTTGATTTTGTAGCTTTTCTCACTTCAAGATACAATTTGTGCTCGTGGCTACTGGAGAACACCAAAAGATGTATTGAAAGCTCACTTATGTGACTGGTTTGAGAAACAGATCCAGCAAAGTGGTCTTCATGATTTGAAGGAGACACTTTATTTTCCACAGGTCTCAGGTATTCATTTATTAATGGCGTTTCTATGAAGGAGATGTCCATTCAAATAGTAAATTACGCATTGTCTAGTTTGAATGAAGGTGAAAACTACACTGTTGTATTATAACGAAGTTACGGTATGTGGTTCTCCACATTTTTGTGATAATCTAGATTCTGAAGTGTGGGAGATGCTTCCAAAAGGAACCCGTTCTCTCCTCGTGCAACCTCTAATACAATCTGAAACCTCAGATTCCAGCCAGAAGTGGAAGAATAATGGTTTTGTGCTTGTGGCTTCCAGCAATAGTTACGCATACAACAATAGAGATAGATCGTGGGTTGGAGCTGTCGCAAAGAAGTTTGGAGGTAAGTGTGTCCATGCAGATCTATAGAGCCTCTAATATTTCTTCAAAGTATGCTATAAACAAATGCTGCTGAAAATAACTTGCATATATTAAAAAAATTGTTCAAAATTTGCTCATTGAGCTAATTTAATGACATCCATAAAGCTTCAAAGCTGCGATTAGGTGCAAACTTGGTTGCAGATATGCTACGGTGTGTACTAGTTGAGTTTCCGTTTTATGTTGACATCTCTTGGTTCAACTCGCTGCCCTAGGCAAATATTTAAGTTAACCTTTTTGCTGCTAGATGTCTTATTTCTTTACCATATACTTAAATCAGGGAAGTGTTCAATGTTTATTTTGGAAAAAGCTTCACCCATGGTGTATAATTGCAGCTTGACACGCTATTGTGAAAAAGATAGTGAAGAAGAGTTATATTTTGGTAGATGGTACTTAATAAGCTTGCGATGGAGATTATCCATGACATTTTATTCTGAATGTATTTAATATTTCAGTTTTCTGCTGTTGAAATCTAATAGCTAGTCTTTTTGATTTAAACTTTTATGTGTTAGTTCACCCTTTCCTTCCTCGCCCACAATGGAAAGAGAATAAGTGAAAGCTTAGTTTCTGACCATAGCAAGATTAGCAGCTGGTATCCAGAACTTATGATCTTACAAGTATCATTCAAGACGCCGTGGTATTTGTAAATTAATTGAAGTCTTTCCCCTCCAGAAGGCTATAGACACAATTTTTTGTATGTAGTAGATCCTCTTTTGGTTCAACCCACCTGAATATAAGCTTATTCATTATTTCATTTCTCTCCATAAATCAGGCTACATTCTGCTAGCTCGTTAGGGCATGTAGCATCATATAAAGTAGGGATGCAATAATATGGTCAAGAAATGCATGGCACCTGAACTTCCCCTGTAATAAACATCATTGGCCCTCATAAGTTTCAAGAAAAATGGTCAATACTGAACCTAATCATGCCCACAAATTCCACGCAAGGACATTAACACAATTTTGTGAAAGTGTTACGGCCTGCAAGGACAATTGGTCCTCCTGATTTTTGATATCAAGATGCTGAATAAGATTAGGATCTTTCACGTCTGAATTCTCTAAGCGGAGCTTGCACCGAGTAGCTTAGTTTGGTTTCTGATTTGAATAATGTTTGAAATGTTCTAGGGATAAAACTGTTTCTGGGACAAAGAATCATTTCTTAAAGACTTAAACCACATTTACTGTCTGCTTCAATCCGAAGGTTGCTAAATCTAGATAGGTGTAAAAAAAAACAACAAAGAGATAAGAGGACCCTATTTAGAATGTGGGTAGAAATCTATAAGAGAGTCTGGCCATAATGACCGAATTGGTTATCTTCATGCATAAGGATCTAATAGAAAAAAGAGTGCTTATTTATTGATAATGGTGGGTCATGATGTTGTGGTAGACCAAACTGGGGGTAATGTAGGTGACAATAACTTCTGTTTGACATGTTATGTAGGTGGCAACACTCTTTCTAATAAGTGCTTCACTACGGAGTTCCAGTGAGACCCAGTGCATAAGTGTTGGCATAGTTGCATTCATGTAGGTGACACAGTTATTGACCTTTGACCATCAGTAGGTTCAAGCAATATTGAGTAATAGCTCCAAAAATCTTGAACGAAACCATAAACTATGACGAACCATTAAATTTCTTCTGTCTTGCTGTGTAAATTATTTACTTTAGCTTGTCCCCAAAAAATAATACTCCATATGTACATCTCAACACTAAAGATTTTCTTAGAACAGCAAATCTGGATAGCATATGGTTGGAGAATATTAAATGCTTTAATTACCAAAAGAGGTTAATGAAAATTTGTGAGAGTTTTAATTCCATATCCCAGATTTTAATGGGAGCTAGCAAAACATTTTTTAATGGTGCTCAGCAAATTAATGACCCAGGGTATGGCTTCCTTTAGTCTCTAGGACCTCCCCATCTGATTATATTTTCTTTACTGCTTTTATTGGCTTTAGTTGTCCTTTCTCTATTAATTTTCTGCAAAGTACTATACTCGGTTCTGTTTGAGCATGTCAGGATATTGCAAATGATCCATCACAAGGATGGTTTGTGCAATAGGAGAAATTGCTATCCATTCTATGAAGTTCAGAGATAAAAATATTCCTCTGTTCTTTAGGCCTAGTGCAATATATATATATATTTTCTTTAAACAGTTAGAAGCCAACTGTCTTAATTATTAGCTTTAAGGTTAGTCATTGGTTCGTATGTAAACTTGGATTGAATAGTGTCTTATTTTTCTAGTCTTTGGCTATTTATCTTGATCTTGTGAAATGTCAATTTAAAGTGTACAGCATTCTGTGACAATTTGCTTTGTTCCTTTATAGGCAAAATTTGAAATCTCCTTGTACCCTATTGAATCTGTATTTGAGGGAGTTCTTTCAATTGTGCGATTAGAACTACAACTACTTTTTAAGTCTTCGAAATGCCATGGCTGGAATTTGGTTCTTTAATGTGTAAGAATATACAACTAATGATGAATCTTTATAGAGTATGCAAGGAGCAAGAATCTAAAGAGGAAAGGGTAAAAAAAATAAAAAAATAACAACAATGATTTAGCGGCTCCATTGGCTGGAATCTAGGTTTAAAGCATGGATGTGGATTTGATACCAAAATGCAACTTGAGCTTCCCTCGGTGTAACCTTAAGTAAAACAAATGCTATTTACTAATTACTACCTGTCAACCAAGTGTGAGGTGGGGGTGGAAAGAAGAATTGCAATAAGAATGAAGAGCTGCCTCAAATTTAGATTGGAAGTATGAGTCTCGAAAAAAAAGGTGGGGTGTTGGGGTGTTGGGGGTGTGGGGGTGGTGGGATATTATTCAGTTTAAGTTTGACATCTTTTAGAGAGTACAATTTCTATATTCTGGCTTTTAGCTGACATGGAAAAAAAATATTCTCAGATTTTATCAGCTGTTTAATAAGTTGCTTATTGTGATCCGACATTTTTGTAACATTCCTTTAACAGCAGTATATCGGGAATTTCTCTCTTGGCTGCATCTGTCTTTCATATCTCTCCATTCATGTACTCTTTACAAGATATCTCAGTGTTGCCTATGGTCCCTTTAGCCTCTTAGTATCTGTTCTTATAAAAACTTCTCCAAGCCATAGACCAGGTTCTGCCAAGGGAAAACAAAGAGTGTTGTGTAGTCTGTAAAATCGATGCTGAAATATGTTAAGAAATGGTTAATCGATGGTACCTTGAGGCGAACAACTTTTCTAATGGCCAGAATCAGGCCTGGCATGAGACATTGCACATCTGTGATATCATGCTTTAGTGTGTAAACCTGATCAACAACAGTTACAAATGAGATTCTCATAAATACAAGGGGGATCTATGTTGTAAATCTTACTACCTTCTTCACGAACACTTGTAGGAATTCTCCTTAGCTTGAGGTGTGTCGAAAGACACCGTTCTTAAGGATATTTCACCTAGTATAGGTGCATCCCCAGGATTCAACAAGCTCTTCTAGTATCAAACTAGGAGCCAAAATCTAACAAAGATTTAATAGAGAAGAAAACCCAACAATATAACCATAATCAGGAAGGATTATACTTTGCTCATTTCATGAAAGTAAACCCAAAAAATCTTATATAGGCAACAAAAGAGACAGAAGGGCTCTAATATTTGGACGTTGTTTCAGAACGTTAGAGCCCTTTTGTCTCTTTTGTTGCCTATATAGGATTCTTTGCGTTTACTTTCATGAAATGGGCAAAAGTATAATCCTGATTATGATTCTATTGCTGGGTTTTCTTCTTCTTCTCTATTAAATCTTTATTAGATTTTGGCTCCTAGTTTGATACTAGAAGAGCTTGTTGAATCTTGGGGGACACACCTATACCGGGTGAAATATTGGACAACGTCTATTGACACACCTCAAGCTATGGAGAATTCCTACGAGTGTTTGTGAATAAGGTATTTTCCATAAGATTTACAACAATCTATGGCCACTGTCTACCGTAGTGAACCGAGAGTATGGTTCAGAAACATACCTCTCCTGGCCTCGAGAAGTAAACTGATGTACTAGATGGGAGCCCTGGTAGAACCAAGCTGTGAACACGCACCCCGTCTTCCCCAAGAACTTGACCCCTTGCCTTGAAGAACAGAAGAAAAAGCAGCCAAATATCAGAATGTTCCTGAAGTCAAGAGATTGCCTTGTCCGTAGACCCAATTACTCCAAAGTTCTGCTGGGTTATAAATGTTATCATGTTATTTGATTTGGCTTATTTCGAAGGATTTACCAGTTCATAGTTCTTCTTTATGTTCAACTACAAGCTTGAAAACTATGAATTGCATGTAGCACCGTGTCTGTAAGATTTGTTGCATCTTACCGGAATATCACTAGAAATGTCATCTCTATTATACAGCTGACCCAAATTGGAAAGGTTGTTAGCAATTTGAACTGCATCCTGGGTTGGAAAATCCTGCAGACAGCAATAATTTCATTACTTTTGACCACTGATTTTGGTAATTCAATAAGTACTAGCATTTAATGAATGACAGGTTTCTTTTTCTTATACTAATAACTACTAGTATGATTGAAATGGTCAGAGCCTACTATATACAATCACTGACATGATGTACGAGAATATTTATACTATTGACAGTTAACTCTGGAATGCATCAGTTCAATCTCTAGTCGCTTTCTTTGTATTAAGAAGATTAACTTTTGTTGATCTAGAGAACCAAAAAACGAGAAACAAATGAGGTCTTGAGCACGTTCGTAGGTGAGAACACTATTGATCTATAAGAGACTGCTCATGTTGTTTAGGCTCTTCCAAAGATGTGTTGGAGAAGTAGAAATAACACTAACTGGTCACTTTTCGACCTTGTAATTGTTCAAATTTCACAGGCGAAATAAAAACTCCATGACAATGACTACATCGAAAAGTCAATTGTTTATGAATTTTACCGATTGGAAAAGAATAAAGAAGATTCGGGGTGTAAAGTTGTAGAAAGGACGACCGGGTCACTGTTAGCATTTGCTGTTTGATTAAGATGACAATAAATTCTACAGAAAGGTTAGTTACCTAATTGGCTGTATCCAGCTAGGTTATGGACCCATGCACTAAGCTTTACTATCATCATTATTATTTTATTCGAAAAGAAGATTTTTATGGCATTACAACATATTAAATGGTGTTAGGTCTTGGCCATGGCCCCCTTCTAGTGTTGAAATTAATAGAATTCCCCTCAATTAGTTATGTGTAGTGCGGGAAAATATCTTCTTCCATCCAAGTGGCGGAACCACAATCTTCATTAATGGTACTCAAAATAAATATTTAAAGATTCAACATTTTAGTGTATATGCATAAAAATAAGTCAACAGCCACGGGGTTGTACTTACCAGAGGATTAGCTCTAGACTCAACAATTTCAACATTGTTATAGTGAAAAGAAGCTGAAATTGCTGCTTGCTGGAGAAGTATGGATCCAATTGAAAGAGTTGGTGCAACCAAACAACCCTGACATCAATGCCAAAAACATGCGCCTTTTTTAATTAAGTAGAACCAGAATTATTTCTTGGCATAATACATAAACGTCCTTTGAATTGACCTTAAAGTACTAAACCCATTGTTTGAAAATGTAATTGGTCATATGATGAAATTGTTGTGTAAATTTGTAAATCTCACCCTGCACCCTCACCGTGCTGGCCTTCTCGCATAACATAGATAAAGCCATGACAGTTTCTTGCTTAATTCTGGGCACGTAAACTACACTATTCATCCCAAATGCTGTTGCCTGCAAAACAAAATTGAAATGATTTTAAGTTTCCACCTTCTTCTGTTTTCCTTTTTTTTTTTTTTGTTAAATAAGTGATACTATTAAGAAGATTAGACCTGTTTGACATTGTCATAAACTGTAGAAGGGTCAGTGAAATCAATGACTACTCCAGTTGCTTTTAACTGCAATAATTGAATTTCACAATGTCAGAAACCATCATTTGGATCAGAATTAAAGCAATATTGGGTCAATTCAAGAACATAATTTTTTGACATGCTCGGATGGTAAACACCCTTCACCTCCTAACTCTGAGATTGTAGGTTCAAGTCACCAGGAAAGCAAAAAGGTTACCTGAGATATTGAACCCAAGACCATGGTAAGGTCGTTAATTATTGGTATTTCTAGAGGCTCTTCCATGCCACAAACCTGAAATTAATAAAATGAATTTCACAAACACAATTTTTTTCTTATAAGTGAATAATGGAAATGAATGAAGCAATTGAATTGACCTGTCCAATATCTTGTCCAACAAAATTAGAATCAACAGCGCCAGCCAATTCCATTCCTCTAGCTTTAGTGACAGCAATAACGGCAGCTCTGCCAATTTCCTTAGCAGCTCCATTTATGATTACCTTCACATTATTTTGAGATGATGATGATGAGCAACAGATGAATGGCTTTGTCTTTATAATTTTTTTAGAATTAATAAAGTATGTTTGGCAGCTTAAAACCGCCATGGATATATGATTACAGTCTTTTGGTTACTCTGTTTCTCAAAATTTGGATAAAAGTTTACTGTTTTGTGTTAAAAGATAAGGTTTTTCCTGCCTTTCATTATGTCCTTGTTCAGACGCACACGTACTTGCTCTCTATATTTATCACAATTATTATATCAAAGTGTTCAATTGGACTCGCCCGCAAAATGAAAAAAGTACTTAGGGTGTCTGCGATATAATAGTGATAGTGATTGACAATAGTGGTAATTGGTGTCGTAATGGTTGGAGGGGGCATTTGTTTGGTGGATGTTGATGATGAAGGTGGTTGGTGGCAATAGCTAAGTTAGAAATTTCTTTAAGGGTGTTCAGATATCAATATACATGTATATAGAAGTAATTTTTAACCAATATAACGTCAATATATAAAATATAATTTTATGACGAAGCCTGAAGGGTATTCAATGGACCATCCATCATTCTGTAGCTCTCAGTTAGTTGACACTCTGACTTTCACCTTATTGGTGTGAGTTTAGTTTTCTACCTTGTAATCTTCTCTCCATTTTTTCTTGTTCGCTTTATGATTTATCCCCAATTTTAAAAATAAATTTTTTAAAAATAATTGTGCGTGACTCCGTCATTGGTTGATGGTGGTAGAGATTGCTGGTGAAGGTGCATAGTTTTGGTGTTGAAGGTAATTGTACGATGATAATGGATAAATTAAAGTAGTGACAAGATATTACATACATGAACTCTCTACATAAATTACGTCTTAATTATTGTATTCTTTTAGCATCTTAATTATTGTATGATAATTAATGATATAATACAAATTTTGAAGGATCAAAATATATTCCGAGCATATAAATGATTTGTAAAGAAAAACAAACAAATGTATATTTAATAGGTTGAGATGTGAACACTTCAATTTCTGACCCATTCTAATAAATGAAATTAATGGGGCCCATATCTTTTTTAAAATTTAGGGACCCTAAAAATTAAGTTGAAAAAAGAATTAGGTAAACTACATGAATAGCCATAAAACTCAAAATAATTATATGTTCATATCCCAATCCAAAGTAATTAAAGAAATACTCATTCTCTCAAAAAAAGAATTACAGCCCATACCCTCATTCATTAAGGTTGATAAATTTCGCTTAACTGATATTAAATCAGTATTATATACTGTATTGATATCATTAAGGCTGATAATTTTGCTTAACTGATACTAAATCAATATATATATATATATATATATACGATATTGGTATCACTAAGGTTTCTTGTTCAGAAATTACTCATTAGTCAATGATACTACAAGAATATATGTATATTGTTGTATATTAGAGAGTATGCATGTAATACATAGGTAGAAATAATTTATAGTGTTTAGATTTGGCTTTTCAATTTGACTTATAAGCGAAAAGTTATAAGTTCAAAATTTTAATTTTTGACTTTTTTTCTTATTTTTGTTAGTTAGCTTAAAATTAAGTGCTTATAAAATTTTCTTTTAAATTACCTACTATAAAAATTGTTTAAAAGTTATTTTAGCTTTAAAATACTTAAAATAAGCCAATTCATACTAAGTCTTAATTAATTTGCTAACCCGTTCTTGAAGTCCTCATTGAGCACGAGATACATAGGATTTTTATTTTTTTTCAATTAGAAGTGGAATTGTGCATATGTGGGGTGATGTTAAAAAAAAAACCATCCAATGTTTGGTATTTAGTGATTATGTATTTAGATTAGCTTGAACTCGCTCCTTCTGATTAATTAATAATTAAATAATTACCGCTCTTTGATGGTAACGTAACTAAAAAAGGACTTGTCTTGAGTTCAAATCAATGGCTCTTTTGGGTAGTTAATTTATGGGAAAATTAGCCAGACAAGCAAACATATATTAGTTGATTAGTTGATTAGTTAATATAGTTACAATTTGCCTTAATTATAAATCGTGATATACTTTTAGCTATAATTACACAATTCAATTTTTTAATTTTGTATAATTCGCACGTTTGTATAATTCGAAATTTGTATAACTTTTTATAATGTAATTTTGTATGATATAATTTGTATAATTGTTTAATGTTCAAATGTTTGTGTTTGTATAAATTCGTTAGTTCGAGTTTATACAAACGAATTTGTTAATTATAATTATACAAACTCACCCATGAATTATACAAACTCGCGACTTATACAAACTCATGAATTATACAAACAATGCAACTTAAACTGTAGTTACAGCCTGTAAATATGCAAACTATAGTTATGGAGCATAATTAAATTTATTATAGTGATTATTTTTGAAAGTTTCCCTTAATTTATTGCCCAAATTAATTTGTAATTAATTATGTAAATGTAAGTTGTGGCCTGCTTATGTAGCCATTGAACCAAATCTATGAACTGAAAAGCTTATAGAATGTAAACTAAAATTTGGTTTTAATTTAAATATACTGATATTTTTTTTTCTTTTTACATTATTCTTAATTTAATTGTTTACACAGATAGTATCTCAATATTTCTGTTATCAATTAATATATATGAGTAATATTATATATAGCTGATAATTCTGAGTAGCTAGTTAATACAAAGTTACAAACCTTCACAGAGGAATTAACAAAAAAATGGATATGGGTCAAAATTTCTCATAAACTATGCGAAATAGATCACCTATACCATTTATTATACTTTGGGATAAAATATCTCCTCGCTATTATTTGAAGAGATCACAAATATCCTCGAGAGTTGACAACTCAATTTTTAGTGACGTGACAAGACAAGTTATGTGAGATTGATCTCTCCACCTAAGCATTGCCAACTAGAATTCACTACAAGAAAACATCACCACAAAATCTAAGAATATTGTCACCGAAGGTTTTTCACTGCTTTTTAACATTAGATTATAAGAACAATTTTTTTTTATTTTTTATAACAGGGACATTATTTAAAAAAAACATAAATGACGTAATTAAGGAGAATTTTAAAGACACTATAGGTTTTTATTTTTATATCATATATAAATGCATAAAATGTACAATAATACATTGTATAGTAGGAGATTTGAGTTAAAAAGTAATTTTGGTTCTTTTCGTAATAATATTGAATGTTTTTAGTATTGATATTAGATGTATATTGATTTTAGAAAATTAGGTTGTAACTGAAAATTAATTATTATTATTTTTTAAAATAGATTTTGCATTGACTGTTTTAACCTATTTTTGAGCTCAAATTGTGCCCCTTTTTGAGGCACAAGCTCCTTGGGCTATTTAGAACCTTTTGACGGAGTCAATTTTGGAATTTTCACTGTGGGTCTCACATTCCATTTTGACTCCATTTTGGGTCCAATTTCGATTGTTGCAATTTTAGTGTCAAAACGTCTGTAATGACGTTGTAATTGATAATTTGATAGTTTGGCGGTGTTTGGAGGCATTTCGGATGCGGATAGCTCAAGTGTGGTGGATTCGGAGCGTTCATGTTCAACTTTGAGGTAGGCTTCAGTCTACTTTCTTGATTGAGCTTCTTAGATAATGCCTAGTATAGATTTCATGTAATTTCGTATGGTATTTGTCGGGTATTTAGCTTTTCTCTTGTTATTCCATTCTTTCTTGATTAAGTAGGAGCCTTGGGCTTATTGTGGGTGTTAAAATCCTTAGTTTAGGTTGTGGCCTCAATTGTGGTGTAGATGATCTTGCTTATCCTTGTTAGGATTGATTCGTGGTGGCCTTAGACTAGGCTGGACATTAGATTCTTTAGGTTGTGTTTTATTGCCTCGTAGTTATAGTTTGCTCCCTTTAGGGCTTATTTTATGTCATCCTCGATACCGGCGACTTTTAGTCGCCACTAAATATTAGTGGCTATTGCAGCCTCTAGTTGCCACATAAAAATCAGTGAAAAATCTTTAGTGGCGATATTATGGAATTTTGTGATGATGTGGTCGTCGCCAAAGGTTCAGTTTATTATAACGAATCCTATCAGGCAATGCTTAAGTGGAGGTATTAATCCCACATGACTAGTCACATAACTAAAATTTGTGTTGTTAATTCTTGAGGATATTCTTGATCTCTTAAAATAACAACGGGAGTATTTTTTTATTCAAAAACATAACCGATGATATAAGTGATTTATTTCATATAATTCAAGAGTAATTTTGATCCCTTTTTGATAAAAAGAAAATGGACTACATCATCTATGCAACTGTAGGGTGGGCAAAACAAAAGTTCAAAACTACGTACACCAAGTTAGGTGTGTTAAGGATAGGATTGACACAATCTGGGAAATACTGTCAATTGTAAAATTTATTTTCTCTAGTACTTTTAGTACCAGGAAAGTTAATTTTGCTAATTTTTAAGGAATTTAATTTGTCAGAAAAAATATATTTCAATTTAATCGAACATGCAAAACACACCCCTAATTCTATATATTTTTATCATTTGAATTAAAAATTGTTTTATATATAAATAAAAGAAAAAAAATCAAACTGATTAAGAAGGTGGAGGTATTCTCTTTATTTTTTTTTAATTAAATAAAGAAAACTGCTAATATTACAAAAGCAACTTGAACAAAAAGATGTCTTGGAATTTTTCTATTTTGAGAAGACGGCCATTTTTAAAAGTCTGAGTGTTTAGTGTTGTTTTTATCACTATCTGCCAAGTATAGAAAAAATTGTTAGGTGGCAATTAATAAAGGGAAAATTGTATAATAGCAAATTATTAATTTAAATTAAATGCTATAAATATAGTTTGATTTAATTGTACCTCATAGCAAACTGTTGCTATTTCGCCTCTCTCCTAGTGAATCTCGCTCGCCACTCTCGTTCTCTCCCTCGCCTCTCTCACTTTTTATACAAACACAAATGTATAAAATGCGTTTGTGTTTGTATAAAGCGAGAGAAAATTATATATAAACATATATTTTCGTTCCCCTCTCTCCCCTTTCCCATATCTCGCTCGCTCACTCGCCTTTCTTACTTTATACAAAAACACAAATGTATAAAATGTGTTTGTATTTGTATAAAGCGAGAGAAAATTGTCTATATACATATATTTTCATTCCCAGATCTCGCTCGCCACTCTCCCAGATTTCGCTCGCTCATTCGCCTTTCTCTCTTTATACAAAC